ACAGCATTAAATATTTGCACTCTGCAGCAAGGCTGTACTTCATCTCAGTACACACGAATCCCATGCTCTTTTCACACTGGAAGAAAACCCACCTTATTGCTATTCAAATCTATCCGTCTCTCTCCCCATACTACCATTACACATGCAAGGCTTGTCAGTGTCACTGACACAAAAAAACCCTCATGCTTTAYGCCAAYACCAGTGACACCTGAAAAAAACCCGAGACACAAAAGAATCACTGTTTTTAAGGATTTTGTTTTTTTGGTTCTTCATTTTGTAATAAGGTCACTTATTCCATATCTTCATAAAAGTATTTCTCCTGCCTTGCAAGGCTGCATGTTTTCTTCCATGGGAGCAACTTATAGGTAATTCTATATGAAAAGTGGGTTTTGGTAACTGAGGTTTGTCCATTTTGTATGACCCTGGTTAAATTGTGAAGCTTTGTTTTGCAGACAWTTTTTTCCCCTCCTCATCTAAACTGCCATTTTGAGTCTAATCTTTTAGGAAATATCCTACATAGGCACTCCTTGTGGTTCGTTTTTAAAAAAGCAAAATTTATTTTGGCCTCTGCAGGAAGCATTTAAARCACATAATGAATAATGTTTGACACAGGAGTCAGTTAGCAGTCATTTTAGATTAATAACACTGCCCAGAAAAAAACCTTGCAGGGGATTAGACCAAGGGAAAGATGCTTAGGCAATAACCTCTGAGCCAGCTGGTTGCTGAACTATTCACAATAGACATAACTATCTCTGAAGGTCTTAAGTGTGAGAATTATCTCCAGGAAGAGAACAATGAGTTAGTGAGATATAAAACAATAGTCTCATGCTCTAACACAAGCAGTTAGCACTGCACATGTTCTCATTTAATCTGCAAGACTTTCAGACAGTAGCAGTTGGTGCCCAAATTAAGACTTCCTCTTTCCCTTTGATCTTATGTAAAAACTAATGAATTGTATAATCTCCAACACCTCTGAAATCCCGCTGGTTARAGGGAAACTCTCCCTACCTTTCCCATGCCTGTCTCAATTCGCTAAATGGGAGCTATATTTAACAGCAGGCCAATCACATGATCACTGAAAAGGAACAGCACAAGGATCTGTAATCCTAATGCTCTGGAGCTGTGATTGCTATAAATCCTTTGCAGAATGATTTCCTTTAAATCCCAAACATGTCATCACACTTTTAATTAACATTTCTTTATGAAAACTGTGGATAAGACCCTTTAAATTAAAGATTGTTCCCAGACTTGTCATCTTAAAACAGTGTGCATTTCTATTGTCATTTTCATGTAGCATATTTTACTTCACTTTCATATAAGCTTTTTACTTCCCCTTTCCCCTCCTTTGCCTCTGCTATCTTAACCTTCACACAAGTAGGAACAGCTAGGACTRTTTTTCAAGGATAAACAAACAGCTTTACATTAGTTGATGTACAAAACACATGATGTACAAGAGCAAATACTCAAAAAAATAGCAATGAGCACAGGCTGAGATGTGGCTGATACTGCTCTACTTGAATTATTCTTACTACCTTCACCTTCCAAGTTTACCATCTCATTGAGCTTATCATGGTTACAGAGAGAAAGAGACTGAGAGGGGAAAGTGATTTGCCCAAAGTTACCCAGTGGATCATCTGCAGAAACAGAAGCACAACCTTTATTTCCCGATTCCCACCTCATGGTTCTTCTCAGCTATTTAGCATGTGGCTTTCTTAACACTGGGCCTGTTAATCTGAGCAGCATTGCTACCCACTTGGTATTAAAACAAGCCTCAAACCCATGATGCTAGACATTGGAGATGCAGTTTTACTTCCAGCAAAAGGGAAGCTTTATACAAGTGAGGGATCCTTTGGCTGCTGGCTAGTGGGAAATGGATTTCCAATATTTGTTTTCCTGATAGTAACCCAGGTAAAAATGCTGGGTTTGAATAATGGCTCAAGTTCAGTGACAGASTCACTTCTGTCATCCCATCTGGGATTAGAGACAGTGGCACACATCACTGGCAGACAATTCTTTCAATGATGTTTTTCAGGAAGCCCAGTTTTCTAACATGCCTCTGTGTGGACTAAGCTGGTGGACAGAGCGAGACTATTTGTGAAAGAGAAATTAAGGGTGACACCATTATCCACTATATAGATAATCCCTGCCTTCAGCAGTAAGAAGAAAGAAAGGAATACAGATCCTGAAAAAAAATCCAGAATGAAATCGTCAGGTAATTTGACAGCACAAACTGAAATTATTTAGCATGATTTGTCAATATGTTTCTAAGTATCTATACAGAATCCAAAAATATCCATTGACAGATACTGTTGAAATAATGGCTAAACAGAGCAGGTCAGACTCTGATGCCCTTCTATCAATGGGGTAGTAGTTTATTCCTCAGCTGATTCCACTGGCTTCAAATTACCCTTTGTAGCTGACACTCAAAGCCAAATGTCAGGAGCTCAAGCCCAATGAGGACATCAGTGGAAAAGCTCAGAACAGAACCTCTGACTTGACTCTCTTGCATCCTGAACTGAAAACAAGGAACAGAGGATTAGAGGAAGGAACAGGGGAGGGAGGAGGGAAGGGAAGGGAAGGGAAGGGAAGGGAAGGGAAGGGAAGGGAAGGGAAGGAAGGGGGAGGGAAGGGAAGGGAAGGGAATGAGGAGAGGGAAAAGAAGGGAAATGAGAGGAGGGGTAGAAGAGTAGGGAAGGGAAAATCATTGCAGTGTAGCAAAATGAGCCTTGGAAAGGTATCTTACGATTATGCCACCACAAACTTAAACATAGAACAGATTTTGGTTTTCCTCTCCTAATTTTAAAGAAATGTAACTTGTCAGTAGTTGTCTGGCAATAAGTTTTTTKAATTATTCATCTCCAAATATTTATGTACATGTTTCCATATATAGATGTGTACATACATGTATATATAGTATATAAATGTACATTTTCAATTGCATATACAAATACTCTTAAAGAAAACCCTTACTGTATGTTTGTGGAAATAAAACTCMCAGCTTTAAAAAAATTCTAATATTCCATAAATGACCTGCTAAATCAGAAGACTCTTAGTAGCTGAATCTGAAATAACAATTTACATCTTCTGTTATCAATCAGACTCTTTGGAAAACCAGTAGTCCAACTGGCATAACTTTGCTTTGGAGTACTTAAGTGCTCTGATGCTGCATATGTAGGATATTATGTAAATGTTCAGTAGAGTCAGTGTATAAGTGACTTACCATACTTGTGCTTAGTGTATAAGACTTACCATACTCACACAGAAGGAGGTACCACAAATCTCTTAGCTCCCCTGAAGAACTATTTTTTTTTAGCTGTGAACAAGTAAGGATTTATTCATCTTTAAATCACTGATTTTTCTGTTAGTTAAACTGAGAAAACTGTGCAAGTTTGCAGCCTGTATTTGTGAAAYCTTTGTTTTCAAGCAACGAACTTAGGCAGTGAAATAAATGAAAGAAACAACCTTGACACTTGTCAGCCTATATTCTCAACAATTCATTTAATGTTTAAGAGAGYAACATCAACCTTGAAATAAAGGATGTTTCAAAAGAAACCATGTTCTGCAKCATGGCCAAGACAAAAAGATATTTCCTGCAAAATTAGAACTCATTGAAGCAATGAGGGCAAGTGCACAGGTTTCTGGGAAGACATAAACAGAAATGGAGCCTGATCTACCTTTCACGTGAAGTCTTCAGGGTCTCCTTTATTTTGGAGTGACCCCTTTTAAGGCACTCTGTTCTCCTTTCTTTTAGGTTCCTTCTCCATTACTTTCTTACCTTCTCGGTGGCTTTGTGCTTCAATTTACTRCTTAGCAGCCCCTCTCTTACAAAGAGGAGAGAATATCTCTGCCTTGAGTATCCAAGAACTGGGCTTCCAGGGTCTTTCTGAATGGCTACATTGGATGCAAGTGCAAAAACATGATGTTACAGATGCCTTATAGGGGAGTAGTAATAAAGAAAATCCTTCCTGTTTCTATGCTATATGCAGCANGGAAGGAAGGAAGGAAGGAAGGAAGGAAGGAAGGAAGGAAGGAAGGAAGGAAGGAAGGAAGGAAGGAAGGAAGGAAGGAAGGAAGGAAGGAAGGACAARCAATGTTTACATACTTATATTCTTTTTTAGTGAGCTGTAATTATCAGGCCAGGACATTGGTGAAGTTGTTTCAAAAGGAATGCAAAGCGTCATGGGTGCAGAGCAACAGGAACAGCACACGTAACCACCAAACCATTGGGGTTTCCCTTACTGACAGGCAAATTCATGCAGTTAGAGTGATGTGGCATATGTGACCATATATTAAAGGCAGGGACTGCAACACATCTGTCTTAGGCCTRTCAGTTTTTCTTGATTAAAACACATCACATGGATACATCAAGTTAAAAAATTAGAAATTAACTATGAGATCTAAAAAATAACATTCTTCTGATATCCATAAAGCCTGGAGACCATGTGCACTGCAGACTCTTAGTTTTCTTTGCTGTTCTATTTTCACTCCAACCTATTAATTTCTCTTCCTCACACCTATGCTAGAACATGAGAAATGTAAAGCCTAAAGCTCTTTCGGGAGTAGCACTATGACAAAACCAGACAAGACTTATTTACACAAAGCTGTTCGTGAAGTGTGCAGATAGGCAAGGCCTGCACATACAACCTTTCTCAGGTAGCAAGAGTGAGCCAGAGGCCTGGGAGAACAGCAGGGACTCACCATGCAGTGCCCTGTGCTTGTGGTGCTGCAGTTCCATGGACCCACGAGGATTTTCAGAAGTTGCTGGTTGATGCACTTGCAGGAATCCCACACCAGATGATCTCTAAGATGACAGAGCCTGTTGTCCAAGGTGTCAGATTGGAYACTGGGCCAAACAAGGGAATTGGGATCACAGCCTTGATTGCTCCCCATGCTCTTCACAATACACAAATTGCAATAACAACATTCAATCTCTGTGAGTCCTTGTTTCCATTTCAGTAGGACACACAGAAGAAAGACACATACCAATACAAAACCAGGAGTTACTGTATGACAATTTTTTATTTATCAGTATCAAATTACATAGCAAAGTAATGAATGCAGTGTAAGATCACCTTTTYGAATACTGTAAATACAAACAAAATCCACCATATTGCTAAATTATCCAAAGTAAATTAAAAGTTTAAAAATGTGCGTTTCAGAGATTCCATTTGGCATATCCTGACAATATATCCTGCATAAATATTTCTGTACCTCATTTTCATTATGTGTACCTTAATGCAGCCTCTAGAAAGCTCACATGGAGGAGATAGGACCTATCTGTATGTTTATACTCATCATCAACTCATGCATCTGCCCTGAAATCACTGAAAGTACCTATCTGCTAGCTCACCTGACAGATAAAAGTGACTGTACCTATAGACCTAGAGATGTACTGATGGATAAAAGTGGCCAGACCCAAAGCTACTGCCATCAGTGCAGGATGACTGAATGCACAATATGAACTGTGGATCAGGTCTTTAAATTACTGACAAAACAGTGATGTACTTTCATRGAAGCTGGGCTGGATCTGATGGCCAGATCTTGTACACTCCAATATGTATGGAAATTCCTGGGACACTTACACCACTTTTTACACAGGTCTGACTCTACTAGATGGAAAGAACAATTCCCTGTTTATAAGGTTAAGTGACAAATAAAGCCAGCACTGTTGATTCCATGTAAGTTGAATAGGATTTGGCCACAGCTGGATACAAACTAGGCAATTCAACAGAAGTATTTTAATGGTGTTAATCAGCAGTGTAATTTAAATGGGACTTCCTTGGAAACTGTGTAAATAGAATTTCCTGATGGATGAGATAATAAGCTTCACTCTGCACTGTTTTCAAAAGTTAAGACTACTKAGACATGTAGATGTATGAAATGGAAAACACCATAGAAATATATATTTTGTTTAGAATACAATGAACAGAAGTACAGAAGCGTTGATGCAGGTACTGGAAAGGTAAGGAAAGGGAAGGAGGAAAAATTTAGGCAGCAATCCCATGGCAACACAGAAGTTACTCTTGATCCCTCCAATTCACCACTATCAGTGGAAGTCAGGCTTCTCTGGGAAGGTGCACCCTGAACGCTTGATAATTACGCTGGCCGCGTAATGTCCAGCCCGGATGCACTCGGTCACCGGCCGGTCATAGACGAGCTGGGACAGAAAGCCTATGGGACACAGAGGGAGAGAAAGAGAAGGAAGAAAACGGTCAGATTGGTTCTTTGAGTGTATCATTTGTTACAGGGCAAAGCACTGAAATACTGGCCTGYCTCTATGCACCCCTGCAGCCTGGCCAGTTTAAACTGAACATTGTGCCTGAGTGACCTGCAGGGCTGGAGTGCTGCTGCTGCTATTTCCATCTGAAGTCTCCATTTAGTAGCTTCCAGTAAAYTAAAGATTACCAAGACTGATCACTATTAGTGCTCTCAAAATGATTTTACCAGAATTCCTGCTCTCTTCTTTATGGAGATAACCCCTGATTCCTCAAAGACTATTTTAAAAACAAAGCAGTTTTCCCTGAAGAACAGAGCTCCTTCTGTTCCCACTGGCTACAGCTACAGCCCCACACAACTGTCTGCAAGCTTTTCTCCAAAATCCAGAAAGGCATGCAGTAGAGAAACATTATATTCAGAGTTACAGGTGCTCACAGTGCAAAGAAAAATGTTTACCTGATGAGGTAAGTTAGATGACATCTGTTGCCTTTGATTATGGGACATTTAATCTAAGACTTCAGTGACAGTGAAGCATGTGCAGGTATCCCCCGAACAGCAAACTGTCCAGAAGACCTGGTGCCTCTCAGAACTGGGGCACACAGTTCATGGCTTCAGCTGACACAGCCTGGCATGCACAGCTCAGAAAGCCAGGAATCTCTGGGAGATGAGTGCTTTGAAAACCTGAGCACGTCTTTGAATGAAYAGAAGCAGGGAGTCCTAAAAAGGTACTTGGAGAAGCTAAGTACAAGCAGGACCAGAAATTTTATGGATTGAGTCCCTCGTTTCTGAAACATTTTGTCTTGGCTGAAACTATTGTGATCAAAAGCATGACAGAACTTATGGCAGAGGTGAAATATGTATTTTAAATTTGGAAGAGGTTTTCAAGATGTGAGAAGTAAACTTAGTATCTTATAATTTAAAACTCCACTCTGTCATTCTAGAGGTAATATTTTATTCACTTTTATCCTGTTTTTAATACGTTTCAGATGTATCTCTTCCTCATCCAATCACAGAAAGAAAGTGAGACTTGCCYAAGAAAATCAGAATTCTAGCAAGCTGAAAGATGTTCTTTTCAAAGATTTCATCCACCATTTCAAGTTTCTGTCATGCTCAGGCTTTGGGCCTTGACAGTACAAATGCAGCCTTGAAACCACGTCTCTGCTAAGTGCTGTGTAACTCACAGGCAGCAACTTACTGACACATTACAAATTTTGATTCCAAGCTGACATGTTTTGCTAGCTTGCTTCCATATTCACTTTCTCTGTTCATGTGGGTTACTATTGGGACAAAAGCTCTACAYATTGTGATGCTCTCATTTAACCTGTGCTCCACTTCGAAATATTTCCATTTGTGGCACATTACAGCATAATTTTAGAAGATAATAAAAATACYTCATCCTATGCAATGATGTCTGCTCTTTGGAGATTAAGTATCATGTAAAACATGAAAAATAGGTTAGATTAATGAAGAATAATACTAGTGAGCAGAAGACCTGTTTTGAATTACCAATATCTATCTTGGCTTCCTGGTCACAACCAACAGTGGAAAGAATCCTGACTGATATATAGTTTTCTCTAAACTGCACTGAACTGGAGAAGAGTTTGAAACTACAAAATCTATAAATCAAACACTTTTCATTGGAACAGGGAGGCCACAGAGAGTAGGCAGATTAGTTAAAAAAGGAGAAAACACATGTTTCTGATATCAATACTTTTCTAGAGAACTACATATTGGTTGGAATTTCACAGATATTGACTGACACTAGCTTCAAAAAATGACTGCTTCACCAACAAAASTCCATAAGCACAAGTGAAGAAGACAGGACTTATCAGTATACAAAGATAAGAATCTGAAATAGGAAGAAATTGTGCTGTGAGTGCTATCACTGATGGCAGTCAGGGATGACAGACAACACAACTGTGGCAGGATGGTCCAGCTGCAATAGTTGGGTAACAGTTGAGAAATTCAAACAGCATGCCTGGCAGAAATCAGATCGTTTCTGAATAACAAGATGAAAATGGTCTGCTCTCCATTAAATTAACATGCATTCTTAGGAGAAACTTTCTTGGATACGTGGAGGGTGTCAATCATTAAATTTAAACTGCCTGGGAGGCAGGAGCTTGCCAGTGTGCTTCTGGGTGGTTAAAACTTGAGAGCAAGTTGTAACCATATGTAAAATGAGGCTGTTAAGACAGTCCATTTCTGAGTCAGTAAGTACGAAGATGCACTGGGCAGGTCTCCAAAGGCAAACATGGGGCTAGGTTTTGTGCAGAGCAGGAATTCAGAGAGAGGTTTATACAGGAAAGAACAACTGTCCTCTACACTTATCATCAAGGCATCAAACATACATGAAGATGAGAAAAATCCACAGAGCAAAAGACCATAAAACATGAACTACTTTTCAATACCARCTAGACTGACACTGTCACCACCTCCCAGGCTCACTGCAGTTTCAAGCTAGTATGTGTCTYTTGTCTTCAGTGAAGCTACTTCTTATTTATTCTGATCTAAGTGAAAGCAGAGTCAGGTAAAAAACCATCTTGTTCTAATTGGGGATAGAAATGAGAGATCTCTGTGATTTCAGAGTGGTGGAGAAATGACATTAAGTACAGCTGTCATATATGAGATATGTAGAAACTGCAGTGGGGAGTTTGCCCTCAAACCATTCTCGTCTGCTGAGTTTCTCTTAAAAGGTATGTGTTTCACAGATGAAATGGAAATAGCAGTATCTGACACAATATCGCATCGAATGACAATACAAACACACATATCACAAACACAGAACTACATCACATAGTAAGACTAGGCAGTTGGCAAAGCAGACCCCGAGGGAACACCATAAAGCAGTGTTGTTTGAGCAGAGAAGCAAGCAAAGAGCTCTATCAGGTTGGCTGCCTTAACTGCAGAATGTTCTTTTTAGTTMATGCAGTAAAAAGCAACACGGTCAGAATATAATTCAGAGTTTGCCTCCTCCAGTGTATAAGTTACCRTGATGCAAACCCCATGAGTCATACTCTGAAGGCATGGATTCAGATCTGGGTTCCAGCTGAAGAAGTTMCTCCCCCATCTGTTTTTCACCATGCTTCTCTGCTGCTGGTATAACCTGATACACTGTCAGAAGGAGCCAGATCAGTGTAAACAGTAGCTGTTGAACAGTGGATCTTTGCTAACCCAGCTAAATCAAACTGAAGTGGGTTAGTGGGCACTCGAATAGCCTGACCAGAGAGCAAGGTGGTGGAGGGAAGATGAGAAGCAGTTGAAGGCTGTAATCTCTTTAAGGTGCCATGACTGGAAATGCAAGAAGRTAAGTGAACATGGCTTCAGACTTACTTCACACTCCTACAACTACAGAGACCAAAAGGGCAGGATTGAASTCTGATCCTGTATCACAGGCATGGGATCACAGAGCTAGATCATCCCAGAACATACTAAAGTAGCTCAGCACCTCCTTCATTTCTGTGTGGTCTGAACTAGTCTCTGGCTATGCCTGGAATGGAGTGCAGAAAGCAGTAGTGTATTTTGGCTACACAAGACAGCCTCACTCCAAGTGTTTTACCAAAACAAGTTCAGGCAATATTGTTTACCATGCTCCAACTGCAGCTTTTCTGCACTGCTGAAGCTGTGGCTGGTATTACAAGCATTGTGTACCACTCTCCTCACACCAGAACACAAAGGCAAGGGCTGAAGTCAAGGCTTTCCCGACTGCCTCCTGCCCTGTTATCCAGCATGTGAACTGTTTATGGAGYAAGGGAAAAGGCAGTTGCAGGATGTCCAGCAGGCTGCCTTGCTGTGATGAGCCATCTTGGTCAGCTTTCAGAGTAGACTGGGATGCCTTTTGTCCTTCACAGGCATGAACAGCCCAGTAACCACACTGCACCTACTGATGGTGAGAATTTATTTGGAACTGGGTCCAATTCGTCCCACTTATCTTCCTAGAAGAAAGACCACTTTGAAAGTTGCTTTAAACCTTAGAGTGGCACAAAATGTATTTGCATTCCCAGATGATAGAAGTGATTATAACACACCAATAGCTATTTTTGGCCCTTAATTATTTCTTTTCTGCTCARTAGAGAAAAGCAACTTTGGAATCACTTTGCTCTGAGAAGTGTGCCTGAAATAACTGAGTTAATCTTTATTATCTCCAGCTTCCTTACCACACATTGTCAAAGACAATGTTTGTAATTGTTAGGYCTGCAAAAACAGAATGAGGAGCGGAAAAGTGAAGTTGCCTTCTTCCTTTTTGTGCTCCCCACCAAATGAAAAGTCCTGTAAGCCAGGTCCTAGAACAGGTGCTCGAGTCTCACAGCCAGAMCCAAACTGATGCCCTCACTGAGACCAGCTCAAATCTCTTTGGGAATGTCAGTACAAGTTTGAAATGACACAGCAAGGCAGTTCAGTGACTGATACAAAAGGTGTTGCCTTTACTTTGTTACTCCWAAGAGTTGAGTAGCACTGAAAAAATCTTCGGGGGAGAACAAAGCTGATTTTCTAGCAAAACAGGTATTTCAGAGGCAATTTCACTGAAATCAATGATTTCTTTGAAAGTTTTATTTCCAGATTATTAGTGGTAATTCTGAATGAGCACTTAGCACTAGTGCAGTTGGGCAGGAATGTGGGAGTCCGATAGTGGAAATTTGAAACAGTTCTGGTCTGCTTCAGTAATGGTTTAACAACACTTAAAAACAGCTCATATTGAAGCCAAATGTTTCATTTCAAATTGTACACTTGACAATTAATTTTAATGACTGTTAATTACTAATGTTGGCTGAAAATCCGTTTATAGCCTCCGACACCCAGCTCCCCCACTACTCGTCTTTCTGCAGTTTCTCTCACATTTCCAACCTTTATAAAATGCCCATGGCAAAAATATTTCTTTTTTACATGCGAGAGAGAAAAGCTGAACAAAACCAATTATCAAATGCATCAATTATAAACAACTACAAGCTGACCCTGAG